CTTGTATCAGTTTAACAGAACATTGATTATATTAATGAAAAAAAAAACAACAGAATAAATGTAAAATATTAAGATTTTGCTTGAATGATTACCTAAAATTTCATTGATTGTCCTACTTTATTTTGTCAGGGCTTAATCTCATACATTTTAAAAGCTATTGACTTGAAACTTGATATGATGATGGATCTACTTGAGATGAAGTGCAGTGCACAGGAACTTGTACTCTGCATTTCATGATTTTGGAGTTATTGGCCTGTGTTAGTTTTCATACTTAATAGGCTTGTCCTCCTGATCATAACTAAGTCACTATAAGTTTGATTGACTCCAAATTTAGTATGCATGTATTTTGTTTCATTGACGTGAAGTGAAGTGCGAAAGAATCGTTACAATGCACCTATTTTTTGAGCTATTGATCTTTTTTTTATTTCTGTCCAAGACATTTATCCTATATTATAAAAGCTCTGGACTTGAAACTTTATGTGATGATAGATCTCATATAGAACTTGTAATCTTTAGTTATTGCCCGTTTTGATAATACAAATTTTCTTTAAATCTTGACGCAACATTGCTTCAATCAATTCAAATGCCACTAATTTTCAAGGTACATGTACATTGCAAGAGCAGTGTTTATAGATAATCTATGTTCCTAACTGACAGCTGTACTGTGACAAGGCGACACATCCGACTCGCGGAGTTTCAGTTAAATCACGGGAGAGGAACTGTTACACGAAGGATGGAGTTGTTATGAAAACTTGTTTTTAGCTCGACTGATCGAAGAATATGTAGATCTATTGCAGTCGCCCCGGCGTCGGCGTTCGTGTAAAATCAAATATCTTAATTATTGCTTGAGATATTCAATTGAAACTAACAATACTTATTTAAAGTAACAATGAACATGAGATTGACAAGTTGGATAACTCTGCCTACAATATTTACAGAATTATGCCCCTTTTTATATTAGAAATTTTGGTTAAAGTTTTTTTTGTAAAGTCAAATATCTCAATTACTGCTTGAGATATTCAATTGAAACTTACAATACTTATTTATAGCAACAATGTACATCAGATTGACAAGTTGGATAACTATGCCTACAATATTTACAGAATTATGCCCCTTTTTAACTTAGAAATTTTTGTTATAGTTTTTTGTAAAGTCAAATATCTCAATTATTACTTGAGATATTCAATTGAAATTTTCAAAACTTTTTTAAAGTAACAATGTACATCAGTTTGCAAATTTTCATAACTCTGCCTGCAGTATTTGCAGAATTATTTGCCGTTTTGAAACTTAGAAATTTTGGTTAAAGGTTAAAGGTCTTAAGAACTATCAAATATATTTACTTGAAACTTTACACATGAACTTAAGGTCATAATTGAGGGTCCAATCTCAAGATCCATTACTCTGCCATGTATTTTGACTGAATTATGCTTCCATTTTTACTAAAAAAATCTCCTTTTCTTGTTTATGTTTAACATGCAAGTTTTGCATATCTCTGAAACTATTAAAGATACAAACTTGAAACTTCATATTTGTGGTCATAGATAATGTTCACTAGGCACTCAAATCTGTGTCAAGAATTTAGGCTGATTAATCTCTCCCTTTTTTAATTAGCCTCTTGGTTAATGCTTACGTGTTAGTTTTTCATATCTCAATAACTATCAGAGATATTTATTTAAAACTTCAGAGATATTTATTTAAAACTTCACTTTGAGTAAACTTTCCAAATTACTTGCTCATTTGTAGATATTTACCTTTTCATTTGTGACCATCCTCCTTGTCATACTTTATTACGTTATTATAATGGAAAATTGCAAACGTAAAGCCTAGGATAATAAATTTATACCCGACGTTTCACTGTCACGGAGTTTCTATGGTACTGTACTAGAGTTCTTATGATAACTTTTGTTAATGCCGGCGTGTTTCTTGTGCTAAGTTACGGCACGTTTTAGCGTATTCAATGAGTCAATAAGTGTGTAAATCATTATAAAGCGTACTTATCATTTGCACAAAAAATGGTTATATAATGTTAATTTTGGGTGTATTTCATTTGAAGAAATTTTTTTTTTCTTACCTCTGTTTATTGTGTTTTATTTTCATTTATAGAATTTTTTACTGACGCAAATTTTTAAAATGAAAAAAAAAAGGCTTGATCTTACAGCATTTAATACGCTTTGAACTCATTACTCAAGCAATATGTCTTCATGTATACATTATTCCTAAAAGTCTCATTTAGAGAACATTAAGTAACTATGCTATCGGTCTTCCGAAACTAATAACATGTAAATGGTTTGCAGCAAAATATGAAGTAGTACGCACTACCTTTATCTTATCTGAATTTAATGAGGTGGGGGTCATCTTCAGGTATTCAGCGGATATTTATTTAATTTTCTTTGACACATAATACAATATGCAATGCAAGCTTAATTAATCACCAAAGATTAATTTAGCACCTTAAACTCTCCATTTAAAATTGAAAGTACCACTTTTCACGTGTGTTTGTCCAGTATTCAATAATATTTTCCGGTGAAATCCGTTATGTTTTCAAGGAACTCCGTGACAGTTATCATAAGAAATCCTGACAAGTTATCATAGGAACTCCATCATCCGTGTAACAGTTCCTCTCCAGTGTTAATTACAACTGAAAAAAGGAATTATCCTTTGGATAATAACTTGATTGGATTCCTCATAAGTGAATGACACCTAAAGTATATTGATACCACTTGAACGTGTAAAAACATTATCATCAAATGAACTAACATATTACGTTTCATAACCCTTTATCACGGCGGCATAATTGAATTTCACATACCTACAAAAAACGCGCGCGCGCGCGCGCGCACGTCCCCCCCCCAACAAAAACAAACGATTTTTACATCTTGTTATATTTTTCATTTAAGGACATCTTAAAACACTTTTTTGTTCTGTTTATTTTTTGTAATTTACATATCGAATTTTAATTAAAACAGAAACACACGCCTATTCTTGTCTACAGAACTTTAATAAAAGTGGACTTTTACTCGATATATTGGAATTAGTCACCAACGTTAACTCCAATCATTTAGTTACAATTTGTTTACATGTTAGATTAAATAAAAATGAGTGTATCAACATTGGTCATCAAATTCAAAGTTTAATAAATATTTTAATACATATAATTATATATAGTGCGAAACTACATAAATTGATTTCAGGTTGTACTTCCCCTTCTCCCGATAATATGGAAGTAAATATCAAAACGTTAGTAACTTCAAACTTGACAGCAAACTTTTCTTGTCAATATTTAAAATTTTGTCTGATCCTTTGTAGTTGTTGCCATATTTTGTGTTGCAAGTTTATTCACAAAAGTGCACAAATTTTAATCTTGAATTAAAGAATGCCGATGGAAAATGAAGAAGTTCAAATCTATTAGTATATGCATTAGTATCAGCTACAACTTCGCATGTGCATTTTATTAATGTCATAATTTGCTGTTGAAACCAATTAACATGGGCGATCAATGTTTACATGTGTTGCCTAACGATAGCCATTTGCATATAGCAGCTACTGTGTAGCAGGAGACAAAAAATCATTTCATGGCATTATTTTATTCAAGGGCGTTTACTCAGCCAAAATTATTCAACCTGAAACCTCTTTAATATATGCAAGTACTTATGGTACCTATCAATTCTTTAAAGTTTCATTTGCATAACCTTAGAAGTAAAACAGAAGTAGTCAGAATTAAAAAAAATGCATAACCCTGACAAAACCTTTAAACAATATGCTCAACTAGACTAGATCATTTCTGTAAAGTTTGGATAACATTGCATCTGTAGTTTCGGAATAGTCCGGACAAGCTTCTATGAAGCTTGCAACATAAAAACGCATTTCTATTCAAGGGCCATAACTAAGCCAAGAATCAATCTCAACCAGAAAACACATGTAATATGCACATTTACTTGAGCTACCAATCAATCCTGTGAAGTCTTATTTAAATTGCATTAGAGGTATAATAGGAGTTATCTGGACAAACTTCATGAGTAAAAATCAAATTATTACTCTAACAAAAATCATTGAATCTTAAAATAACGATAATATGCACAACTAGACTGCACTGATCATTCCTGCACAGATTTGATGTAACTGCAACAGTAGTTTCTGAGAAGAAGTCTGGACAATCTTCTGTGTAACTTGTAACACAAAAACCTTTTTTATTCCAGGACCATAACTAAGTCAAAAATAATTCAAACCAAATACTTGAGCTTCTTATCAATCCTGTAAAGTTTCATTGAAATTGCATTAGTGGTATAAAATGGGTAGTGCGGACAAACTTTAAAAATAATAAAAAAAACATAAAAAAGGTCATCACTCTAACAAAAATCATTGAACCGGTAAATGCCGACGATATGCAAAATTAAACTTCGTACTGATTATTCTTATACAGTTTGGGTGAAATTGCACCAGAAGTTTTTATTAACTTGTCCGGAAAAGTTTTTTGAGATGGACCGACGAAAAGACGGACAAAATAACAGACTGGTGACGGAGAAGTGATCCCTATATCTCGTCGCTACTCTGTAGAGGCGATACAAAAGGGAAATTTAATTTGAAATATTTCACGTTTTTGTCTGCTCTGCTACTGCACTTGATCTTTTTGTTTTGCAAGTTTACTGATGAAAATACAAAAAAGAGAGAAAATTGTGTTTTAAATATTGTACATATTTGTCGCCCATCATTGAAAAATTAACCAAAAACATATGGGTTTTTTTAAACTGTACAGCAAACGTTTGTTGTTGTATTTACTATAACTTCACTGAATCAGTAAGCACATACCTACCAAATGGAACGTGGATTTTGAAACTCCATAATTGTTAATAGTATTGTTAATAGTAAAATCAAATTCACGTTTCACCTTTGCAAAAGTTGCTTTTTTTGAAACATTGTCTATGTTTTTAAAAAGCTTTTTTCCGTAAGTTAACTCTAGAGAATTTAAACTTTAATTTGTAATAGATTGCAAATCTTTGACGATGGAAAATGGAATAGTTAATCCCAAAACGATAGTATCTGCAAACTCGACAGCCAACTTTTCATGTTATAGTGGATACAAGCTTACAGGTGAATCAATGCTCACTTGTCTGCCGAATGGAACGTGGAATCTTAATCCCCCAACATGCATTGTAAAAAGTAAGTATTTGATAAAATATTCACATCTGTATTTTATTTCATGTAAATTTTTCTACATTGAAACCAAATAAAACGGTGACTATTAAACCCCCTACAAGTATTTTTAATTGATACACACTTCGCATATTTGGAACCAGATAAATAGGTATATTAGGTGAAAATGTATAATTTTGTCAAGGTTATGTTTGCTTTTATAAAAGTATATCTTAAAAAAAACATATTTTTTTTTGCTTTCTAATATTGTTATGTTTCACTAAATTATTTTATTTTATAAATGAAATATTTTTGACAAATTATCTTGTATCAAATAACTTTGCATTGTTTTAATAGATTGCACATCTTTGACGCTGGAAAAAGGAATAGTAAATTCAAAAATGAAAGTATCTACAAACTCGACAGCCAACTTTTCATGCTTTAGTGGATACAGTCTTAAAGGTGAATCAGTGCTCACATGCCTGCCAAATGAGACGTGGAATCTGAATCCCCCAACATGTATCGTTAATAGTAAGTATTAGATATACACTTCGCATATGTGTCATATTCTGGTCACTTGACACAATTTAAGGTAAACGAAACGGAAAATCTTAATATCTTCAATGGCTGTATTTTTTGTGATGTGAGTTTATAATATTGATTATTTTTTTGTAAAAAGTTAGCTTTACAAAACCCAAACACTTTGATCCTTATCTAATAGAATGCAAGTCTTTGTCGCTTGGTAATGGTGAAGTGAATCCCAAAACAAAAGTATCTGCAAACTCTACAGCCAACTTTTCATGTTATAGTGGATACAGACTAACAGGTGAATCAATGCTCACTTGTCTGCCAAACGGAACGTGGAATCTGAATCCCCCAACATGTATCGTTAATAGTAAGTATTAGATAAAAGATTTTTACATGTCAATTTTCCTATTTGAACCAAGTAGAACATGGAAAGTAACCCCAACATGTATTGTTAATAGTAAAACCAGAATCATTCTTCGCATAAAAAATGTTTTCTTTTTATGTCAATTGTTGCTATTTAAACCAATTGAAACGGAAAATATTATTTTTAAAAGCTGGTCGTTTTGTAACACGCGAGTATATTAAAAACATGATTTTTATTAAATAGACTGCAAGGCTTTGTCGCTGGGTAATGGAGTAGTAAATCCCAAAACGATAGTATCTGCAAACTCGTCAGCCAACTTTTCATGCTATAGCGGATACAGTCTTACAGGTGAATCAATGCTCACTTGTCTGCCAAATGGGACGTGGAATGTGAATCCCCCAACTTGTATCGTTAATAGTAAGTTTTTGATAAAATATTCCCATATGTATTTCATTTTATGTAAATTTTTCACACTTAAATAAAATTAAACGTTGAATTAGAAAATACCATCAAGTATTTTTTATCGAAACAAACAATGTGGTAAAAATGTATAATTATGTCAAGGTTATGTTTGTTTTATATAAGTATATCTTTAGCTAAACATATTTTTCTTTCTACTATTGTTATGTATCCCTTAATTCTTTAATTTAATAAATGAATATCTTTGACAAATTATCTCGTATCAAATAACTTTTCAGAATGAGAATCTTTTGCATTGTTTTAATAGATTGCAAAGCTTTGACGATGGAAAATGGAATAGTAAATCCAAAAACGATAGTATCTGCAAACTCGACAGCCAACTTTTCATGTTATAGTGGATACAAGCTTACAGGTGAATCAATGCTCACTTGTCTGCCAAATGGGACGTGGAATCTGAATCCCCCAACATGTATCGTTAATAGTAAGTATTAGATAAAAGATTTTTACATGTCAATTTTTTTTATTTGAACCAAGTAGAACATGGAAAGTAACCCCAACATGTATTGTTAATAGTAAAACCAGATTCATTCTTCGCATAAAAAATGTTTTCCTTTTATGTCAATTGTTGCTATTTGCATGATTTAAACCAATTGAAACGAAAAAAATTTTTTTAATAGCTGCTCATTTTGTAACATGCGAGTATGTTACTGAAATATATTTGTTGTAGGTAAACTCAAAAATGTTTAAAAAAAATGATTTTTATTGAATAGACTGCACATCTTTGACGCTGGTAAATGGAGAAGTTAATCCCAAAACGATAGTATCTGCAAACTCAACAGCAACTTTTTCATGTTATAGTGGATACAGTCTTACAGGTGAATCAATGCTCACTTGTCTGCCGAATGGGACGTGGAATGTGAATCCCCCAACATGTATTGTTAGAAGTAAGTATTTGATACATTATGCCCTTATGTATTTTATTTCATGTAAATTTTTACATTTCAACAATTTGAAACCCGTATTGTTTTAAATACTCACTTTGCATGTATATTTTACTCATGTCAATACTATTGGAACCAATTAAAAATGTAAATGTGGTAAAAATGTAATATTTTGTCAAGGTTGATTTGAACATATTTTATTTCTCAGAAAATACATACATGATACAATTCAAATATTCACAGAACAGTTCAAAAACTGTTCTTAAAAATCTTTAAAAAAACAGGATAAGAGTGAAAGACAACGTGTCTTTTGATTTTTTTCCTTTGCTATGGTTTTGTTTGCTTTTAAAGTATATCTTATTAATAACTAAATATTGTTTGTTTCTTTCTAATATTGTTATGTTTTATTACATGTATATTCTTTACTTATATAGATGAAATATCTTTGGCAAATTATTTTGTATCAAATCAGACTATGAAACTTTTGCATTTTTAATAGATTGCACATCTTTGACGCTGGTAAATGGAGAAGTTAATCCCAAAACGATAGTATCTGCAAACTCGTCAGCCAACTTTTCATGCTATAGTGGATACAGTCTTACAGGTGAATCAATGCTCACTTGTCTGCCGAATGGAACGTGGAATTTAAAGCCCCCTAGATGTATTGTTAGAAGTAAGTATTAGATAAACACTTCGCATATGTGTCATATTATGGTAACTTGACACAATTAAAGCTAAACGAGACGGAAAATCTAAATATTTTCAATGGCTTTATATTTTCTTATATGAGTTTATAATATTGAAATATATTTGATAGAAATTAGCTTTACAAAACCCAAACACTTTGATCTATATCGAATAGAATGCAAGTCTTTGTCGCTTGGTTATGGTGAAGTCAATCCCAAAACGATAGTATCTGCAAACTCTACAGCCAACTTTTCATGTTATAGTGGATACAGACTAACAGGTGAATCAATGCTCACTTGTCTGCCAAATGGGACGTGGAATTTGAATCCCCCAACATGTATCGTTAATAGTAAGTTTTTGATAAAATATTCCCATATGTATTTCATTTCATGTAAATTTTTCTCATTTGAATAAAGTCAAACATTGAATTAGAAGCCACCAACAAGTACTTTTGTTATCGATACACACTTTGCATAAATATTTTTGTCATGTCAATACTACTGGAATCAAATAAAAAGGTATATGTGGTAAAAATGTATAATTATGTCAAGGTTATGCTTGCTTTTCAAGTCTATCTTTAACTAAACATTATTTGTTTTCCTTATTATGTTGTTATGTTTTTCTATATTCTTTACTTTTATTGAAATATTTTTTGACAAATTATCTTGTATCAAATAACTTTTCAGAACGTGAATCTTTTGCTTTGTTTTAATAGATTGCACATCTTTGACGCTGGAAAATGGAATAGTGAAACCAAAAACGTTAATATCTGCAAATTCGACAGCCAACTTTTCATGTTATAGTGGATACAGACTAACAGGTGAATCAATTCTCACTTGTCTGCCAAATGGGACGTGGAATCTGAATCCCCCAACATGTATCGTTAATAGTAAGTATCAGATATACACTTCGCATATGTATTCTTTTCATACCAGTTTCACTACTTAAACCAAAAATAACGCGAAATCTCATTTGAAGTGGCTTTGTCTCTTGTAACATGTATTTATGATATTGAAATATTTTTGTTAAAAGTAAGGTTTACAAAACTCAAACTTTGATTTTTATCTAATAGAATGCAAGTCTTTGTTGCTGAGAAATGGAGAGGTAAATCCCAAAACGAAAGTATCCGCAAACTCGACAGCCAACTTTTCATGCTATAGTGGATACAAGCTTATAGGTGAACCAATTCTCACTTGCCTGCCAAATGGAACGTGGAATTTGAAACCACCAACATGTGTTGTTAAAAGTAAGTACTTGTGTAAATATTCCCATATATTTTTCATTTCATGTATTTTTTTCAAATTTGGATACACACTTCGCATAAGTATTTTGGTCATAACATTATTACTGGAATCAAATAAAAAGGTAAATTTGGTAGAAATCAATAATGTTGTAAAAGTCATGTTTTCCTTAGAAGTATATCTTTCACTTAACATTATTTGTTTTCTTTCTTATATTGTTATGTTTTCTTATATTCTTTACTGGTACAAATGAAAATTTATATTTTTGACAAGTTATTTTATTTCAAGTAACATTTTAGAATGCCAATCTTTTGCATTGTATTGAATAGATTGCACATCTTTGACGCTGGTAAATGGAGAAGTTAATCCCAAAACGATAGTATCTGCAAACTCGTCAGCCAACTTTTCATGTTATAGTGGATACAGTCTTACAGGTGAATCAATGCTCACTTGTCTGCCGAATGGAACGTGGAATGTGAATCCCCCAACATGTATCGTTAATAGTAAGTACTTGATTAAATATTAAACCCAAACAGAACTTGGAAATGAAATTGTCTAATTTCTAACAATAAGGCACCTTGCATGTATATTTCACTCGTATCGAAACTATTGAACCCAAATAACAAGGCAAATTTGGTAAAAATGAAATATGTTGTCAAGCTAATGTTCTTCTTTTAAAGTTTATCTTTAACTAAGATTTTTTCTCCTTTCAAATATCATGTTTTTCTATATTCTTTACAGGCATACATGAACATATATGTTTTTCACAAATAATATCGTTTCAAGTAACTTTTCATAATGTGAATCTTTTTGCGTTGTATTTAATAGATTGCACATCTTTGACGCTGAAAAATGGAATAGTAAATCCAAAAACGATTGTATCTGCAAACTCGACAGCCAACTTTTCTTGCAATAGTGGATACGAGCTTACAGGTGAATCAATTCTCACATGCCTGCCAAATGGAACGTGGAATTTCAGGTCACCCAGATGTAAACTTAAAAGTAAGTATCAACAAGAATTGTCGACACATATGCCCCCTTTCTAGCCCTTGACTCACATTATTGGTAACTTTGTTATAGACACTTGCCATAAATGAGTACATGGAAGTAGTCAATTCTAGAAAATAAAAAGATAATGAAGACTTTGTGATAAATAGTTTTTAAGATGAGACATTTAATGCCCCTGTGACCTTGACCCTTGAATTAGTGACCCCAAAATCAATAGGGGTCATTTAATGGTTATGACCAATCAATATTACAAATATGAAGACTTTGTGATAAATATCTTTCAAAATAATAAGCGGAAACCATACAAACATTGAAGAACTCTGTGACCTTGTCCTTTGACCTAGTGACCCAAAAATCAATAGGGGTCACTATCTAGTTATGACCAATCAATATGTGAAAAATGAAGACTTCGTATAATAACTTTTCAAGATAATCAGCGGAAACCATTCTGACATTAAAGGCCCCTGTGACCTTAACCTTTGATCTAGTGACCCCAAAATCAATAGGACTTATTTACTAGTTATGGCCAATCAATATTTGAAATATGAAGACTTTGTGATGATAACTTTTTAAGATAATCAGCGGAAACCATTCTAACATTAAAGGACACTATGACTCTGTGACCGAAAGACAATTTGAAGACTATGTGAAATATGAAGACTTAGTGATAATTATCTTTCAAGATAATGACCTGAAATCATACTACCATTCAGAGACCAAGTACCCAAAAATCAATAGGACTTATCTTCTAGTTATGGCCAATCAATATGTGAAATATAAAGACTTTGTGATGATCACTTTTTAAGATTATCAGCGAAAACTATTCTGACATTAAATGATTCTGTGACTCTGTGACCAAAGGACAATGTGAAAACTATGGGAAATATGAATACTTTGTGATAATTATCTTTCAAGATAATGAGCTGAAATCATACTACAATTCAAAGACCCTGTGACCTTGGCCTTTTAACTGGTGATCCCAATATCAAAAGGGGTCATCTACTATGGCCAATCAATATGTGAAATATGAAGACTTGTGATAAATAGTAACTTAGATAATAGATGGACATCTGATTACCATTCAAGGCCCCTGTGACCTTTGACCTAGTGACCCAAACATCAATAGGGTTCATTTTCTAGTTATGACCAATCAATATGTGAAATATGAAGACTTTGTGATGAATAGTGTTCAAGATATAAGGGGAAACCATTCTGACATTTAAGTCCCCTGTAACCTTGACCTTTGAACTAGTAACCACCAAAAACAATACGTGTAATCTGTTGGTTATAGCCAATGTGAAGACCATGTGAAATATAAAGACTTTTTTTTTCAAGATAATGGGCTGAAATCATACTATCATTCAAAGACCATGTGACCTTGATCTTTGAACTAGTGACCCTAAAATCAATAGTGGTCATTTACTAGTTATGGCCAATCAATATTTGAAATATAAAGACTATGTGATTAATGGTAACAAAGATAATAAGTGGAAATCTTATTACCATTCCAAGCCCCTGTGACCTTGACCTTTGACCTAGTGACCCTAAAATCAATAGGGTTCATCTTCTAGTTATGACCAATTAATATGTGAGATATGAAGACTTTGTGATAAAAAGTGTTTAGGATATAAGAATCAGTCTGACATTAAAGGCCCCTGTGACCTTGACCTTTGGCCTAGTGACCCCCAAAAGCAAATCTTGTCTTCTGTTGGTTATGATCAATATGAAGCCTTTCTGAAATATGAAGACTTTGCGATAATTATCTTTCAAGAAAATGAGCTGAAATCATATTACCATTCAAATACCCTGTGACCTTGACCATTGAACTGGTGATTTCAAAATCAATAGGCGTCATCTACTAGTTATGATCAATGAATATGTGAAATATGAAGACTTTGTGATGAATTGTAACCAAGATATTTAGCGGAAACCATTCTGACATTTAAGGACTCTGTGACCTTGACCTTTGATCTAGTTACCCCAAAATCAATAGGGGTCATTAACTAGTTATGACCAATCACTATGTAAAATATGAAAACTTTGTGATAAATCGTTTTCAAGATAGTCAGCGAAAACAATGTGGTCTACCGACGGACAGACCGATGGACCGACAGACCAACAGACAGACCGACCGACAATTTACATAATTAAAAAGGATCGCAGTTATGATTGTTAAAATGACTTTTCAATTACGTACTTTTACAAACCAGTAAACGAAAGAAAACCTTATTTAATGGTGATTCGTCTTTAAAAGGTACGCATTAGATTTGAATAAGGTAAAATTTATCTCTGATTTAATGAAAATTTCCATTTCAATATTTGTAAATGCATTAACATTTATACAAGTTAGTCATTGTTCTTACAAATTTGACTTTACATAAGAGCGCGATTGATTATTATTTTTATGATGTCCACATCTGCATTTGCATATCGGTAATTATTTTTGTCAACAACTTCTTTATTCAATAAATGAATGTGGTAAGCAGACAATGTTATTATATCACCATTTGTCAAAAACGGTGTTTTGTACTGTTCGGGCGGTAAAATTCTTAATACGCAAAATTATAGTTTTGTTCAGTTAATATTAATAAAGCATAGATAATACATCTGTTTCAAAGTATTTTACATAAATTGGTTACATTTTTGGTAAGAAATGAAACTTACTTAAAGTTTTCATTTGTCTGAAAGATGCAGGTCTGTAGGTATATAATCTCAAAAAAAAAATGTTCGTGTAACCCCTCTTTTTATTTATTTTTGCAGTGACCAAATTTTTTGTAACAAGAATTTGTAACAGAGTTACCAACGTCCCCCGCCTTGGGAAGTTTTATATGAAGCATAAAATTGAACTATTTCAAAAGATTGAGGTATGGATCTCAGGACATTCAGTCAAAAATTATGATCAATGCTAGATCTGCAAATGCAACAATAAATTTGTTAAAAAAATAAAATGAAACACAGATTTTAATTATCTATCATGTTAAGCTTTCACCTCTAAGTGTGACCTTGACCTTGGAGGTAGGGGAGCAGGTGTTGTGCATGACATATCATCTTATTATTGAGACTATTTGTGCCAAGTATTTTCAAAATCCCTTGAACTATGAAGAAGTTATAGATTGGACACAAAATATACCCTATAACAGACTATGTGAATCTAAGCTTTGACCTCTAAGTGTGACCTTGACCTTGGAGGTAGGGACACAGATGTTACGCATGACATATCATCTAATCATTGTGACTATTTGTGCCAAGTATTTTCAAAATCCCTTAATCTATGAAGAAGTAATGGACGGGACATAAAATATACCAAATAACAGACTCTGTTAACCTTTGACCTCTAAGTGTGACCTTGACCTTGGAGGTAGGGGTGCAGGTGTTGTACTTGACACATCGTCTTATTATTGTGACTATTTGTGCCAAGTTATTTCAAAATCCCTTGAACTATGAAGAAGTTCTAGATCCGACACAAAATATACACTATAACAGACTATATTAATTTTTGACCTCTAAGTGTGACATTGACCTTGGAGGTAGGGATGCAGGTGTTGCGCATGACACATTCTCTTATTATAGTGACTATTTGTGCGAAGTATTTTCAAAATCCTTTGATCTATAAAAAAGTTATGGACCGGACACAAAATATACCCTGTAACAGACTATGTAAGTATTTGACCTCCAAGTGTGACCTTGACCTTGGAGGTAGGTGACCGGTTTTTGCGCAGGACACATCGTCTGATTATTGTGAACAATTAAAGCAAGTATTAACAAAATGCCTTCATAGATAAGAAAGTTATGGACCGGACACAACATATACCCTCAAATAGACAATGTTGACCCTTAATGAGCAAGTGCGACCTTGACCCTGCAGGTAGGGGTCTGGCTGTTGCGCATGACACATTGTCTTATTATAACAAACATTTGTGTCAAGTTATTTCAAATTCCTTTCATAAATGACAAAGTTATGGACCGGACACGAAATATACCCTGTAACAGACTATGTTAATATTTGACCTCCAAGTGTGACCTTGACCTTGAAGGTAGGTGACTTGTTTTTGTGCATGACACATCGTCTGATTATTGTGAACAATTATAGCAAGCATTTAAAAAATCCCTTCATACATAAGAAAGTTATGGACCGGACACGACATATACCGTCAAATAGACAATGTTGACCTTGAATGAGCAAGTGCGGCCTTGACCCTGGAGGTAGGGTCTGGTTGTTGCGCATGACACATCGTCTTATTATAACAAACATTTGTGTCAAGTTATTTCAAATTCCTTTCATAAATGACAAAGTTATAGACCGGACACAAAATATACCCTGTAACAGACTATGTTAATATTTGACCTCCAAGTGTGACCTTGACCTTGAGGGTAGGTGACTGGTTTTTGTGCATGACACATCGTCTGATTATTGTGAACAATTATGGCAAGTTTTTACAAAATCCCTTCATAGATAAGAAAGTTATGGACCGGACACGACATATACCCTCAAATAGACAATGTTGACCTTGAATGAGCAAGTGCGACCTTGACCCTGGAGGTAGGGGTCTGGTTGTTGCGCATGACACATCGTCTTATTATAATAAACATTTGTGCCAAGTTATTTCAAATTCCTTTCATAAATGACAAAGTTATGGACCGGACACGAAAGTGTGACGGACGGACGGACAGACGGACGGACGAACAGACGGACGGAGCCTATTTCTATATCCCCCTTTTTTCTTCGAAAAGGCGGGGGACAATTATGTAGGCGCTTTCAAATTACCAAATAATAAATATGTTATATTTTAATTTTCTTTATACTTGCAATGTAATGATAATTCTGTTTGACATAATACTCTCTGAGTATTTACGATCTTCTATTACGGAAATGTACGGACAGGTATAATACCTGTCGCCTCTCTCCTATTTCTCAATAAAGTGAAAGAAAAGACAGCGTCCATTCTAACTTTTTTATTAATTCTATAAAAAGTCAAATATTTTTGGTATCAAAT